AAAACGTTGCACACATACATACATATATACATACATAACCCTAAATGTATTCTCTCTTTTTCCAACGTATCTCATTTTCCAACGAAAAGCCCTCCCCTTCCCCTCCCGCCATACGCCCGTTCTAGCTTCCTCACCTCCTCCCACCGCTACTTAACTCGTACCTGATAGTACGACAAAAGGGCCTTATGACGTGCAGCGCAGTACTGCGCCTCGCACTCCCACAGATCTGCCAACACTGTAAACTTATCCACCATCTGGATTCGGTCCAAGGCGGATGCCGTACTCGCCGCCGCCGCCGCTGACGACCCACGGGTCGCCCCGCCGTTGCCGCCGCCGCCGCTGCCGCCGCCGCTATTACCGGCACTGTTGTTATTGTTATTGTTGTTATCGCTGGTGCCGCCACTGCCGGCGTGCACCTGAGCCGCATAGACCTCCAAATGATACGTCGCGACGCGCAACAGCTCCACTTCAAGCGCTTTAAATTGATCTTCTGCAAATCCGTACAAGATCCATTTGCCGTCGGCGTCACGAACCGATACGCCCGCTTCAGGATCGTCCATCCAGATGTCGTACTCCGCGTCAGGGGCGGCGGCGGCGGAGCCGCCGCCGCCGCTGCCGCCGTAGGCGGCAGCGGCCCCGCCAGATGCGGATCCTCCTCCTCCTCCTCCTCCTCCTCCTGCGCCCCGTGCTGTCCCGTTCGCGTACGCCACCGGACACGTGAAGTCCTTTGCGGCGGTGGTGGGAAACGGCTGTGCGAGGGGCTCCTCGTCGCGCTCGTCCCGCAGGAGTTGTAGGCGGACGGACGCCAGGGCGTTGAGGTAGTGCAGGATCTGACCGACAGCACAAGGGCGGCTTTAATAATTTTAGAGTCGCCCGGCACCCGCTTTTCGCTGTTCCTTCATTTTCTTCCCGCGCAAAGGCATGCGTGCAACTCAGCCGCCCTTCCCGCCGACAAACGGCACCAGCCAAAAAGACGACAGCTCCGAAACCAAAGAACACACCAAGCACTACTTCCACACCCCGCCTCTTTTCCCCCCTCCCCATTTTACACACCCACACCCACACCTTTATTTTGTTCCGTTTCGTCGCGAGGTAGCGCACCACGAAAAGCGCCTCCATGGTCTTGTCCTGCAGGCGCTGACTCGCCCAGGGTGCGTTGGCGAGCGATAACGTCATGCGAACCACCGGTTCGTCCGCAGTAAAGCGAGACCAGCTGCCGCCGCCACCACCACCACCACCATCACCATCACCGCCATTGCCATGGGTACCACCAGCAGTACGGCAAACCAGTCAAACAACGCAACACCGGCAGAGCCGCCGCGCAACTCCGCAAGTGAGAGGTAGTTTTTCAGGTCACTCATCACCCCGGGTTCTCGTCCGGAGTTCCTGCATGGTCGCCGTCACCGCCACCCACCCACCTCACCCACCCACCTCACGCACCGAAACCAGGGGAGTGATGCAATCAAAAGAAAGGGAAGTGGAACAGCGCTAAATTATACCACCACTCGCCTATGGTTCGTCTCCCCCTTTTTCCCCCTTTCCCCCAGCCCCCCTTTTCCCCCTTCCTCCTCCCACGCACACACCGGTCCACATGTTGCTCCGCCAGTGACCTCAGCCGGTCGTGGATGAGCTCTTCGTTAAACTCGTCCAGGAAGTCGTTTTCAGCTTTGAGCACCTCATCGATCTTTTTCAGGGAGGCCGGGTGGGTGGCGTATTGGTTTAGGGGTGAGTACGTTGTGTGTGTGTGTGTGTGTGTGTGTGTGTGTGAAGGGAGGGAGGCGCAGGCCAGCGCATTTAAAAAATGCGCCAGGGGAGAGGGCCGCTCAAGAATGGGGGAAATGGCGATGCTCCCAAATCAGCTGCTGCATCTGTTCTGACTTCTTTGGCCGTGCCAGCCAGGTAATAACTAATTATTATTTCATCTTAAAATGAACATTATTATCTGTCTTATCCTAGTAATAAGATGTATTCAAACCAAGAAATATTATTTATCTTGTCCAAATATATATTTGAATTTTAAAATTTTCTCGTTTTTATATTTTTGTTTTAATATTATTTCTTAAATGCGTATGCCCGTCTGGGGCCTGGGGGTCACTCACGCATCCATCCTGTTTTCAGGATTAAGTCCCGTGTCCGCGTGCGGGGTTTTCCCTGCCACAAACCCCAACCCCCCCCCTCTCTAGGCCCCCTCGGCACACCCCTCTCCCCCCTCCCCTTAGCCCCCAGGCGGTCCAAAACACACACACACCAAACACACCTCCAGCGGTAGCGTCCTCAGAACGGCTTGGTAGCCCGCCGACTCATCCCCCTCAAGGGAAGGTACAAGCGCCGCCAGCTGCTCGTCCATGACCCGTACGACATGCACCTGATCGCGGGACGAGCAAGCGGGATCTTCGGGGAACTGCTCCACCACCGGCTCTTGTGGCAACATCATCATCGCGACCGACGGATCGCCAGCAGCTGCTGCCCCTCCTCCCGCAGAGTCCGGGCCCTCTCGACCGCCTACATCGAACTGCTGCTGTTGTTGTTGTTGTTGTTGTTGCTGTTGTTGTGGGTTTGTCGCCCAAGCTCCGGGCCAGCGGCGGCGGTGACGTGCGAGGACCTGCAAAGGTCCAGGGACGAGGATTGGGAAATAGTGGCGCTTGTAGCAAATGATGTCGCGGATGTTGCATACATACATACAGACAGACACACAAACGTACAGCTACATATACACATATGCACATACATACATACATACATACATACATACTAGGTTCTTCAGGGTACGAGACCGGGTTTCGCGTGTTGCGGCGTCTAGGTGAGATAGGATCTTGGAAACCAGCCGTCTTGGTAGAGCGGTAATGGGGGGGCGCCGAGCTGGCTACCCTCCCCCCCTGTGGTTTTCGGAGGCTTGATCGCCCGGCGTTGCCGCAGGGTCTTCCCGTTTGAGTACTTTTCCAGTTAGACCCAGTGCTGTGGAAGGGCGCGGACTTGTGCGGTGTTATCCCCCCGACGGGTGCTATCTCCCCTGGACTAGCCCAGGGAGGGAGAGGCGGAGGAGGGTAGTAGTCTCAGGAGGCTGTTTGGCGTCTTGTGGTGTGAGCTCTTTGCGCTCGTTTTTGCGTGCGGATTTTTGAGCTTGGTGACCTCCCCAGCCCGGGATGACTCGTCGGGCTCCCGGTCGCCCAGGTCCTGGTAGCGAGCTCTCTGAGATGCTCGGTTCGTTCGGTCGGCAGGAAGAGCCCCCCAGTTGTGACTTCGTTTATGTTAGGAGACCAGCGGGCATAGATCCCGTCTAGTTGGAGCGCCAAACAAGCGCTGTTGCGTGCCGGCCGTCGTTTCCCGTGCGGCCTGACCCGGGGGCGGAGTGCATGAGACTAACCAGCCGTATGCACCCGCCCCCCGTGCTGTGTTTCGGCCCTGGGCCCCCGGCTTTTCAGCCCACAGTGTAATCACATACATACGTGCATACATACATACATATACATACAAATATATACACATACATACAAATATATACATATACATACACATAGATACACATACATACCGGCTCCTCGAATGTTTGAGGAGTGTTGACATGGGAGGTGGCCCCCCATCAAATGGACGATGTAGGACGTGATAAAATCAACTTGCGAGCTGACCAGGAACTAAGTTGATGCGCCGTTGATCCGCTAGATTTGGTTGGATGCTGGTGGTGAGTTGCCGAACCCAACGAATACATTCTGAAGTCGCATGGGGTGACGGATTAGGGTGCCCCTCTAGCAGGGGAGAGCAGGGACTGCCCCGGGAAAGGGGGCCGCTGGCGAAGTTAACCACCCTGTAACAACATACATACACATACATACATATATATACTCTACCACACACCACCACCACCACAGCCACCCACCCGTGGCAGCATCCTCCGCGCCTCGTAAGCCGCCTTGTGCTGCTTGGCTGAGGGGTCCGCGACCACCGCCCCGGGGGCGCTGTCGGCGGAGGGGGTGGAGGCCTGGGGAACACGACATGGGTGTATGTAAGTAAGTATGTATGTATGTGCGCATGGGATTGGGGAATGGGGGGTAGGGGAAGGGGTACAGAACGGTTTTGAAGGCAAGGTCGGGTAAAACACAAGCTGCAGAGCTGGTTCCTCCTCCTCCACCTGATGTTTTTACCTACAGACCATAAATTCGGACAGACAGACGTACATGCACACGGGTACAAAAGGCAGTGGCAACCTACCAACCTACTATATCCCTCAATTCACAACCTTTCTTACACTTCATACTTCCTGAGCTACGCTTTGAGCTAGAGGCCGTGTTTGCCATTTCTCCCCCTACACCCCTCCACACACACATACACACACATACACACGCACACGCGAAACACACACGCGCCCACATCCGCACCTACCTGCGGCAGCAACTCCCCCGGGTCAAACTCCCGAAACAGCTGCTCCAGCTGCTGCACCGACTCTCCATTCGTCGTCACCACGCTAGGCGGCACCCGCAGCCCCGAAACCGCCGCCACCTGGTCTCGGAGCAACGCCCCGCCGCAAACCTGCTCATACACCGGAAACCGGTGATGATGACTCAGCGGCAGGCACCTCAACCGATCGAAAAACCGCTCCGCAACCCTCCCTGGCGGCAGCCGGCAAACCGCCCAATGCAACGCTGCCCACCAATCGCTCGCATCTGCGCTTCTAAGCGACGTGAGGCGACCCAGCCGCGCCGCGGCGTCGGATTCTGAAAGCTGGAGTGCCTGCATGCATTCTTTGGCTAGGGCGAGCTCTCGTTCGCAGCCACAGGGCCGAAGGGCGCCTTGCCAGGCGCTGCCGACGTGGTCAAGTTGGTGGCGGTGTAGCGGCAGTCGGTGGACTTCGGTGGGTAGGGAGTGCCGGGTGACGTGGGTGAGGTGCTGTCGACGGAGGGCGGCGGTGTGGTGGAGGAGGGCGCGCTGCTCCACCACGGCTTCGGCTTGGCGGGCCCGGAAGTGCCACGTCAGCGCCGTGAGCTCATGAAGACCTGCGCGCGTTCGTGTTTGTTTTCATATTTGTTTCGTTTTATGTTTATGCTTGTTCTTATGTTTAATAATAAAAAGATATCGTATTAGTGTGCTCTCCAGCTCTCTACCCGACTGTAGGACCAATATAGCGTGTGTTTTAGTTGTGGGTGTGGGGGTGGGGGTTTGTCATGGGCAGACCAGGTACATGGTAGACCGTGCAGGGCTGCCAGCGTGCCCCCCTCCGTGAGTTAAACTGCCGCTCCAACCCTCCGCCCCAGCGGTTTAAATCGTACATGAGCCGGCGCACGGGTTTCAGGTCCAAGCCAACCTCACATTACACCCAGCTACTTTCCCCCCCAGCACCCCCACATCAAAGACCGGGTCGCCCGGGTAACCCAACATCCATACACCCACGCCCACACAAACACGCATACATACAAACGCAAACATATCTGAAAGAAACTTCACGCTTGGTCGAAATCCCTAGCACAACTTGTCTGCCACGTCATCAACGTGTAGGATTGCGCAACTTCGCGTCCTCGGCTCGCATCATGCCCGTTTTGACAATTCGGGCTCCGGATTGTTCCTTCCCAAAACATCGCCACACATACATACATGTATGTATGTATATACATGCATGCATGCATGCATACATACATACATACACGCACGAACATACTCAGATTATTACAACACACCTGCCAGCGGCTTCCCTGCCCCCTCCACCGCCGCCCTGCACGCCTCCGCCATTGTCGGCCGAGTTCGGCTTTCCAACCCCAGAGTCAGCTCCGATTGTAAATCTCGACGTTCCCGCTCGATGCTTGCGGCGCTGGCGGAGCCGCTGAACAGCGACGGAGGCAGCGCCGCCGCCGGTGGTGGCGGCGGCGGCGCCGCCGCCGCGGCCGCCTGGCCCAAGCCTCCGGACGCCGAGGTCGACACCGCTGGCGCAGCGGCGGCGACTGCATCGCTTAGCAATCTGCGCAGGTCCTCGGTTTGTAGCTCCCGGCGCTGAGCTAGCAATGTAAGGAGGTGCTTGGAGTAGTTGTCCGCATCTGGATGGCCCACGTAGGCGCTGTGCCTGTGTATGTATGTATGTATGTATGTAACATGTGTGTGGACGTGAATGATTAAAAGGGGGAAAAGCGGGGACGTGAGACCCGCGGCGGGTTTGGGAAATTGCACCACAGGCAAGATGCAAATAAAAATGTCGATGCAAATATTCAAAAGCAAAACCAGTCAAAAGCCTCCAGCTATTATTCCAAACACTATGGTGGCAGGGTTTTTCTCGAAAATCAACACTGTGGTGTCCATGTGCGAATGGGTGTGGGGGGTTGGGATGGGGAAAGGGATCGGCGATGTGGGTTTTTTTCAAAGTGTTAGGAAAAAAATGCAGTTGTAGTTTTTAAGGGAGGGTTGGTGGAGGTAGAGGTAGATGAGATTCGCTTGTGTTGGAGATTGCGAGGGGGCGCCATGTGGCATTGCGGGGAAGAAAAGAAGGGGCCATCGGAGAGTGCATGCGTGCGTGGCATGGATGATGAGAGGTTGAAACGCTGCGGCCTCTCCTGGTGTTGCGGGCGATGCCACGCGGTGCTTGGCGGACAGCCGGGGAAGGTGCGAGATGTTGGGCTGTGTGGGGATGGGGTAGCTGGGGGGGAGGCTGGGACAGCTTGGCGTGCTGTGTGCCGCTGTACGGCATGTTTGCGACTGGTGTACAGCGTCGGCTGCTGGTGAGGACGGGCGGCGGTCTGCGAGGTTGAGGTCTGAGACATGCAATAGAGACAGAAGATTGGGCGTCCAAGTGGCATGAGGCCGCGGGGCGCAAATCTTCAGAAAGCTGTATAATGTCGTCCCGTCTGTCGTAGGTGACACCGTCTTTCCCGCGCTTCCCAGCGGGATGTATGTGTAGCTTACAAAACCTCAAAGGTAATTGTATGACATGCTGCGTGGTGAAAGATGGCTTGAAGGGCTTGGCTTTGAGCTGGCGTGCGGGCTCTGACCTCAGCATGCATGTTGCGTGCTGTTGTTATGCGCACCTGGAGCTCAGTCCGACGCCGTCCATCGAAGCTTAGATAGTAAATCTGAAATTAACGCTTAAACGGGTGGGAGGTTGAGATGCTCCACCATACAGCCAACCAGCGTCGCACCCCGCATTGCAGAGGCCTTACTTGACTGATGCAACAACGATGTGTTATGGAAGGATTAAACGACGATAGGCAGTGGACGGTAGGTTTTGCGCTCGAAGTTGCTTTCTAATGACGATGTACGGTAGGGAAAGAATTTCCACAGCACCCACTCTGGACAATGTAGGTGTTTTGTCACAGATACGGTGGTTACATATGAAACATGTTCTCCAATCAGTTTGCTTAAATCTTGCACCGTTGCCGACGCGGCAAAGACCTTTTCACCTCCTGTAAACACCCTGATTGAAGCATAACTATATGATTCTTATCGGACCATATTGACACTGGAAGTCCAGATGAAAGGATCGTGACAGCGGACTGCCGTTTATGAGCCAGGGTCGCTGGGTCGCCTCCGCGGAGGTGAGCACAGTTTTCTGTGGGGCTCGGAAGATTTATCGCATAACACAGCCTTTTTAAGGGGGCGTGTATAATTTGGGGAGCACTCGGGCTGCACGATGTCACACGGGCAGAGCAAGCGCGCAGAGAAGAACTGTGAAATAGCAGTACAGGGACCTTGCTGTAAAGGAATCATATTTAGATAAAGCTGAACCACCCTGGCTGGGGCTTTTGTTTCCTGACCATCCGCTTGATTGTCCAGCTGGAAGGCCCAGGCGCCCAACCGCAAGCCGGGGAACAGGGACGCGGCGCTGGCTATGCTCATCGTGAACAAGGTAAGAAAGGAGAATCTTAACCGCCGCCCAACAAGCCACGACGTCGAAGCGCCCACCACAATCGCTCACGTTACATGTGTACGTGGCAAGCCAGCTGGGTTGTCCCATTTCGCCGGGACTCGCGGATGCGTCTCTTAGTCGTCACACATATGCCGGACGTGCTCAACATTGCAGGCCTGGACAGGACATTCCTGAGGAAGGGCTCTTCCGCGCACGCAAGTCAGATGGGTACATCCCAGCAACTCAGCAGCCCTCCTCGAAAGGGCGAGACCCTGGACGTAACAGCAGGACGAGACCTTGCCTCGCCGAAACCAGTAACCGTCCGTCCTAGCTCAAACTATGGCGGTTGCGGACCTCCTGTAGTGGCAGTTCCTCACCATGCCACACGCGCTATCAGCAGACCGCCGCACGCGTCGTCGCCTTTTGGCAATATGCTAAGCCCACGAAACCACCAAGCCACTTCCTACCGCGACGCAGCCTTGGCGGCAGCGCAGCACGGTCTTTCCGCCTACGCCCACTCCGCTGCAGCTGTGGCAGCGGCGGCTCGGGGCCACACACCGCGCTCTGGCGCCGGCGCCAGCGCTGGCAGTGGCGCTGGCGCCGGCGGCGGTGGCTCAGCCGCCGGGCCCGGCCGGCCGCCGCCTGTTCCGCGCCCCATGCAGCACAGCGCACCCACGCCAATTGCCAGCACCACATCCAATAGCGGCACAGCGGCGGAATTCCTCCCCAGCTGCAGCGGCGCCTCGCCAAGCCGCATTAGTGCGCCGACGACCCGTGCGCCTGCCCTCCTCCCGAGCCGCGGCAGCATGCCCTCCCCTAGCAGCCCCGGTCGCGGCGGCGAAGCGGCCCCTGCCTTCGCCGCCTCCGCCGCCTCCTCGACACCCCCGGGCAATTACCGCACCGGCGAAGTGGCCATGGTCACGGTGACGTGTAATGATGTGTGGTGGCGCGGCGCCTTCGACGGCTCAGCTATTGAGCCAGACGACCATTTGTTTGGCGGCGTCGGCGTCGGTGGCAACCCGCCGCGGCCGCTTTCAGGAACTGCCAGCGCAGTACGTGTCATGAGCCCCGGCTGGGGGATGGCGCCTCCGAGCGTGTACGAGGCCGACGGTCGTCCCGGCACACGTGGAGGGGGCCCACAGTTTGACATTGATGGCCGACCGATGACACGCAGCGGGCAGCGGCCGCCATCGCGCGCACAGTTGAACTTGGCGCTGCAGCGGCCGCCAGCTCACGTGGCGCCGTTGGGCGGGCCTGGCTGGGCGGGCTTGTTCGCTGGCGGCTGCGGACCGTCGGGGCCGGCGGAGGCGGTGCCGCCGCCGCCGCCGCCGCCGTACACTTCCCCCCAGCGGGCGCCGTCGGCCGGCGCGAGCATCAGTTGGAGCGGCGGCGATGCTATCGAACCGCCAGGGTCCCTCCGTCGGCAGCTTGTATCCCTGCCGCCGCCCTTTCCCGCCGCCGCCGCCGCCGCCCGACTCAGCTCGCCGCCAGCGCGCGTCTTCGGGAGTGGCAGCGGCGGTGCCGCCGGCAGCCCTGGCGGCCTCCTGAAGACGCCCTTGACGCAGCCGTCGCAGTCCTCCACGCCGTCCGCATCAACTCAAAGCCCTCCAAATCTGCCGCCTTGGCCATCGCCAGGGGTTGGCTTTGGCATTGGCGTCGGCAGCAGCAATAGTAGCAGCAACGGCGGCATGCCTCGAGCTCAACCAGTCACGAAGCTCAGCAGCATAGCGGAAGCTCCGGGTTCCCCGGTCCTTCAACCACTACCGCCGCCGCAACAGCAGCCACAACAACAGCAGCAGTACTTCCCCAAGACAACAACGGGTCGGACGGATGCCGGTGTTGGTGGCGGCTGGGGTGGTGGGCGCAAGGCGCCTCGCGAACGCGAAGGCAGTTTCACAGCAATGGCAGGCGATGGGGACGCGTGCCAGTTTCCAGGTTCCCCCGGCGGGGTTTCGGCGCGGGTAAGGAGACGGTTTGGGAAGAAGGACCCGGTACACGGGGGTCTTGGTTCCTCAAAACAACGGGACGGAATTCCCTGCATGTTTTTTCGATCCTTTTAAGCGGCAGTGTTGGAAGGCACCCCATTTTGAGTACTGGGAGGAGCTGGTTTCGGAGGTCATTGTGAATTCGTGTCAACAGACATAAAGGTCCCACACGGACGCACATCTATCTGCTTTCGACCTCATGGTTTCGTCCACAAAATACATTCCCCATTTCGTCCACCCTCATCCTCACCCTCACCATTACAACCACATACCACAAACCACGACGCGCAGGCCCCCGCGGATCAGGACCTGCACCGAAGCAACTCGGTGAATGACAGCCCGGCAGCGGCAGGCTGCGGAGGCAGCGGTGGTGGTGGTGGTGGTGGTGGTCGGGCTGCTCGATTGCGGCGTAGCTCCTCCAACTCCCTGGGGGGCCCCGCCAGCAGCAGCAGCAGCAGTAGCTTCGTGCGGACCCATGGGTCTGTGACCGGAGACAATTCGAGTGGCTTTCGGCAAGGGCTTGCGGGCCACGGCGGCTTGCAAGTAGGTTAATAATAATGAGGATATTGGGGGGAAGGGAGGGAGGGAAATCGATGGGAGGTCAGGGGAACAACAGTTGCCGTAGGAGTTGACAGCAATGACGCACCTGCGCCTGAATGCACTATCCGAGGTATGTTTGCGCGTGTGGTGCATGAACCCGCGGGTAGGTAGGGGAGTGGGGTTAGGTAGGTAAGAGGGGAGGTTGAAAATGGACACTTGCATTACCGAAGTGGCTGTATTTAAAGTCGCTGGCTTGCTGTATGTATGTATGTATGTATGTATGTAAGC